GGTGCTGGCCATATCTTGATCAGAAGGCAACAGGAAGTGGACTGTGTCACTGGGAGAAGCCTGAGTATAGGAGACCTCAAAGCCCGCCCCCACAGTGACACACTTCCTCCAACAAGGCCACACCTACTCCAACAAAGCCACACCTTCTAATAGTGCCACTCCCTGTGAGCTTATGAGGGCCAATTACATTCAAATGACCACAGGCACCTTTGGGTATTCTTGGATAGATATTCTATCCTCCAGTTCCTCCATAGACTTAGACATTTTCAAGGGCCCCCTGAGGCAGCAAGTAAGGTTACCAGTTCTTGTCCCCAAAACCAACAAACTGGGTTTGAGTTCTGGTGCCCACATGGTGGGATGTACCCCCACACCCATACTTACACACAGGATATATAAATAGGAATGTAAATAAAAGTTAAAATATTCTCAAAGTAGAAATTTGAAGGAAGTTTGCATTTGCTAATAAACATGGTGTTTTGTTGATCCAAAGTGACATTGACATTTCTATTCCAGAGGCCGTAGGTGTGACTCAGTGGTCGAGCACTGGTCTAGCACCTGCAAGACCCTCAGCTTCATCTCAAGCACTGGAGGAGAAAAAGCCTCCACGTCAGTCTCTCAGGTGAGGGGAGAAGTTGATGGCCTGGCGTTCTGGAATGCTCTGCAGATGGGATGAGGAGTATGGTCTGAGAGGCAGCTTGTCAAGGCCAAGATGTTGTATTTTCCCAGCCCACATCACACACAGGCTGCCATCCGGGCTGCCCTGTGTTCACAGCTACTTCTACAGCCCGAGGACAGACTGGCCATTGCTGGGGCCTGTGCAGTGGGAGGTTGAAAGGCAAGACATGGGAGGGCCCTGCTCACAAATCAAGCCGCCGGCTTCCTTGGGCAGCCCCATTGTGCCTGCTAGTGTGCACCCTGTATGTATGTGTGACGGCGGCTCCTCTCTCGTGCAGTAAATGAGGGGTTTCTTTCTCCCTCCAGCGTTTAAAATAAACAGATCTGCGAGCTGGTTGCCAAGATCGGTCAATACCATATGCAAATAAATAAGTGCTAATTGCCTGCAGTGTCTTTGGGTGTCAGGTGCGGTTACTGGACCACATTTATGGGCCAATTAGGCGCCTTACCGGACTTTAGTGGTGATAAATTGTGGCTTAGCGGCTGCTTGGAGCGTGCGGCAGACAGCGGGCTGAGTGTAACTCTTTCTGTTCTTGATGGTTCAGATTGGGAAGCTTCTGTCCAGAGGCAACTGTGCAGTGATCTGTGAGGCCACAGGACACACCAGACAGGGCAGGCTGGGGTGGGGGTGGGGCAGTGGGCCCCTGGGGTGGGGCAGACACCCATGTGGATGGGTAGGTGAGACCCGAGAGTCTTGCATATCAACAATGGTGTCTTGGCGCTGGGGGCTCCGCATGGTTGAAGCTGGGCTGAAGTGCTGAGGGTCACCAGGGTAGGAGGGTAGTGAGAATGATGGCAGGACTCTCCTGAGCATCATCTCGAAGGGCTGCCTCCAGACCAGTTTCCTCTCAGCCCTGCCACAGCCACACTTGAGGTTGGTTTCCTGAACTGACCTACGTGGAAGAGTTTCTGTAACTGGACACTCGCCATGCACATGCTGCAAGGGAGGCAGAGCTCGTTTGCCTCTGTTTCCTGCGCCCACTTGGAAACACAGGCTGGGCCCTGGCTCCCAGGATGGCCCTGACAGACTGGCTTCCTGGAGCTGACAGGAGGTGCCACAGTAGACTTGAGACCTCGTGAGGGCTTGCAGTGGCAGCTCCAGAGCTCCGTGGAGGTCAGGTCACTAAGTGTCACCTTTGAGGAAGAGCCATTTTATTTCAGATGCCCTCAAGGTAAGGCACTGGCTGGCAGGTGGGGCCTTCCAGGGTAGGAGAAATGGTGGGCGGAGGGTCCTGAGCTGCAGACCCAGGGTGTGGGAGGATCGGGCAAGGACAGCCAAGCAAGGGGCAGGGAGAGGAGAAGGCTGTGAGGAGGTGATGGAGCTTGCAGTGTTAAGACTTTTGGACAGAACCCTCAAAATAACGGAAGCACGAAGGAGTTTCCAATAAGGACAAACCAGGTTAGATGCTCAGAGCATGAGAGATTGGCTGTGCAGCCAAGCTGTGAGGGACAAGGGTGGGCCAGGGCGGAACAATTCAGAGCCAGCCTGGGGCCCTGTGGGAGACGAGGAGCTGCGAGCAGGGAAACGTGTCCATGCACTTGGATCCAGGTCCAGGGATTGTGGAGGTCCCCGGCAGGCCCATGGGGCCTGGATGGTTCTGGCCACATGCTGAGGCTGCTGTGGAGGCCAGATGGAGCCCTTGGGATTGTTAAGCTTTGCCCCTCACCCTAATGCCTCCTAATTCCTAATCAATTTGTTTCCGTAACAAAATAATCAATTAGCCAATGGGTTCACCAATCTCAGCATGAGTGAACAGTGTATTAATAAACAGTCCAACCGCTTTCCTCACTGCCAGGGGGAAGCAAGAGCCTTGGCCTATACTGAAACTCTTCAAATGCCTTTGGAGAGAAGGATAAAGGAAAGGACTCGGAATTCAGAACATTCAGAATTCAGAACACTCAGAACTCTGTCAACATTCTGAATCCCCCAGTATATTAAATGGTTATTTACGGAGGTCAGTCTTAAACGTACCTTGCACCCTTTGTTTTTATTTGTATTACTCCCTTGAGGGACAAACACACTTTGAGACAGGCTCCCAGGTGGCTCAGGTTGGCTTCAAGCCTGTTATGTGGCTTAAGATGACCTTGAACTTCACACCTCTGCCAGCATCTCTGAAGTGCTTGGGATCACCGGAACTTGATACCTACACCTGGGGTTCAAACCCAGGGCCTCATGCATGTTAAGCAAGCATTCTGTGAGCTACACCTTCAGCCCCAAGCTCTCTCATCTCTAATTTTTTGGGGTGTGTGTGTGGCGGTGGTGGCACTGGGGTTGAATCCAGGGTCTCATTCACACTAGGCAAGTACTATGTCTATATCCCAGGTCCCCAGCCCCCAGCCAACAGTGCCATCCTCATCCCTCCCTTTATATGTTGGCCTGAGAGTTGTCCAGTTTTGTTGTAAGGAGCACAGTGATGAGCATCTCACATGCAGAGGTCAGAGGTCATCCTCTCCTAGGATTCCCAAGTGGTAGATTCAGTCAGCTCTTCTGCATGTTCTCGGCTGGACCCACAGTGACAACCGTGTGTGTCTCCTGGATCTGTGGCTGAGGGGAGAGCTGGGGCACTCTCACATTCCCCATAAAGTCTCTCACTATTTGTACAACTGTTTGCACGAGGGTCTGTACCTTGCGGGGGTGGCTGGTGCGCCAGGGTAAAAGCATTTGCTATGTAAGCTGGACACCAGGAACCCATGTAAAACAATGGCGGTGGTGGCCTGCCTCTATAGTTCCAGCTCCTGGAAGACGGGAGACAGAGACAGGGGGATGGCTCTGAAGCTCTCAGCTAGCCTGGAGCAGATCTTTGTGCATTAATGGCAAGAAACAAGAGAGACCCCGCCTCAGCCAGGTGAATGGAGAAAACAACCTCTCAAAGCTGTCCTCCAGTATCTGTGCACACCCTATGGGACATGGGTCTGAACGTACACAGACAGGCCGGGCTGTGACTCAGTAGTCGGGCACTTGTCTAGCATGGGTAAGGCTCAGGATTTGATTCCTAGAACAAAACAAAAAACAAACAAGAAGCCTGCCTCAGTATCTAAACAGCGTTTTGCTTCTGACCCAAAAGTGTTTCCCAGAGCACTGTCCTGAAAAGGGGGTTCAGAGCCCACCTCTGGGGCCCTGAAGAAGCTGAATCCTCCTGGGTAGGAGACCTCTCTGAGGTGGACCTACAACTTTGGTGCAGCGGGGACAGACAGGTGGGAGGGGGCTGGTGCCTGCTCACATGGCCTCTCAGGAGGAGTATACTCTTCGGACCACAGGAGGAGTGTGCATGTGGGCTGAACAAGAATGGGATGGCAGAGACCATGGCTGCCGCTCCCCTCACTCTCAGCAACCACTGTACCAACCGCACACCCTAGTCCTCCATGGGGTCCTAAGTGACCAGTGGAATGGACAGAGCCACGAGCGATGATTTTCACTGTGCCCTGCTTCCATCTGGAAGGCATCCTGGAGAACAGCATTCTAGACACTGTGGGTAACAGTACCAAATGACTGGGGGAAACCAGGCCCAGAGCACACCTCAACTGGCCAGGCGGTTACCCGTGAGGAAGAGGGAACGTCCGTTTATTCATGCCATTTTGTAAATCTCTCACGGGAGAAAAACCCAGCGTGTGTTGGAGCACTTCCTGAAAGCCTCTGTCTTTATCTCCCAGAGGACACGCTGCCTGGGGATGCAGTCACCTGTGCTGAGTGACACGCTGTCCTGGGTATGGAGTCACAGGCTTACGACTGGGATCGTCCACGTGGCAGTCCAGTACCACAGGCAATTCAATTGTGCTGTGGGAAAGGGTCCACAGACAGGATTCTCACAGAAGCACCTGTGGGCATTCCTTACCTGTAACCCGATGTGGAGGGCTGGGCAGGTGTGTAGAGGGTGGGTATGTACGGGATGGGTGTTACTTCCTTTTGTAACGTGCGAGTGATGATATAATGTATTGTGTGTGAGAAAGCTGCAATACTACTTTTGACAGTAGTCACATTGATAGTGCAGGTCCGAGTGAGGTTCATCTTCTAGGTGTCCACTGCATCCCTGTCAGTCATGTGGGGAGGGTGGGCAGGGCGATACTGAGACACACACAGCATCGGGAACTGCCACTCACTCTCTTGGGCTTTCCACCCGTGTTTGAAGATATGGAAGAGATGCCTGTCCAGCTTCATGGGTCCCACTTCTGGGTCTCTGGCTGAAAGCTGAGGGGTTGGTCTGTCTCTAGGACAAGTTTCCCTTGGGCAATTGAAGCCCCTCTTGTCTGATTTACCTTCCCGGGAGTGAGAAACCAATTAATTGTGACAAACTGCTACCAAGAAGACACGTCACAGAAGCCATATATACATATTTTCATTTCTTTATTAGAAAGAGGTCTCTACACTATAGCCACCTCTCTCCGTTACTTTACACACTTTTCCTTTGCCTTTCCCCTTAGAATACTGTACAGCTGACACAAAATCCCAAGGCAAGAAAATACAAACCAGCAGATTGAACCCGAACAAGGTCGCATGAACAGACGAGCGGAGTGGATGTCTGTGGATGGTTTAATTACAGGACAAACAGCATAAATAAAGCCATCAGTCATGGGGAAACACGGAGTTATGGAATGAGGTAATATCAAAATGCCCAGGACGGACCACCCCCTCGGAGAAGCCCCACTGTGCTTCAGCCTTCTAGATGGGTCTAGGCAGGTGAGGCAGTGGCCTTCTTTGCTCCCACCCAGAAATGTGCCATTGGCACCCTGCCTTGCCCTGGGTTTTCTCTCTACAAAGATGCGCCTGTGGCAAGATGAGGACTCGGAGGAACTGGGGGAAAGGAAGGGAAGAGGGCAAGAGAGGATGCCAGGGACTCTGTCCTCTGCAGGTCCAGCCGCAGGCCACTGTAGGGGCCAGCCACCTCCTGGGCCTTCCTGGAGCTCAACACCCTTTCAGTTCTCAGGGCTCAGGGCTGGAGGACCAGTTCTCATCTTGAGAACTCATACATTTTAGAAGAAAGCTATCACCCCCCTCAAACAAAACAAAACACCAAACAAAAAACCCCACAATGTGGGGGAAGGGAAGGGATGGTTTTTACATATAAGAGGAGGGTTATTTTCAATAGGAAGGTGCAGGTGTCTTTCCCTTCTGGTCACAGGGACGTTTTGAGGGTATCTTTTGTCTGCCTGTCACACAAAAGCCAGGTCTCCACTCAGCTGCCCTGGGTACCCTCAGTACCACCCTGGTAAGAAAACTGCAGGACCTGGTAGGTGAGCAAAATGTGTGTGCCAGAGCAGGAACCGGAAGCCACATTTGGACTGCACAGCACCCTGGGCCCCTTCTCTGCCCATCCTGAAGAGGCAGGTGGGTCAGGTGTCTTGCCAGCCCCTCAGCTATGGATAGAAGGCTGTTTACAGTTCTGTTTTGGGCCACACAGGTCTTTCTCCTCAATGCCCTCCGTTAGTCCACATGACCCACGCAGCAGTTTGCTAAGTGTGTCTTTTTGCAAGCATGTGAGAGCCCTCTCTAAAAACCACACTAATATCTGGGCTCCTGTGGCTGCAGTCCTGAACCTGGACATTGGGGTACAATGTGATCCTAGGATGGGTTCCTAGGGTTCCTAGCGGCAGCGTGCCAAGGCGCTCTCCTCTGGGCCTAATCCCACCCCCCACCCACTCACACCTCTTGGTTCCTTCATTTCACCCACAACAAGACAAAGGCTATGTAATTCCCTGCACACAGAATTCCAGATCAGTCCTCCCCTATGGCAGGAGAGTCCATCCTATGGCTTGATTCATGACCCCCAGGGGGTCCCCTGCAGATGCCATGCGCCCAGCAAAATAATGACAAGCCCTGAGCTGACCTCTCTCACTCACCAAGGCCACTTGCTTGGACCCTAGAGCGGCAGCCTGTGCTGGGTGCCCACACCCACCTGAGGCTCACTACGGAAGAGGCCTCAGTTCAGAACGCTCTGACCAGACAGGAGCAAACCCCAGACCAAATACTGCTCTTCTATAGGAAAGAGCAGGATCTGCTAAAACCAAAGGACATACACTTTGTTGGCTGTTTAGACTCATCTACGATGAAATGTTCTCTCTCAACTCGGACTCAGGGGTGCAAACCAATGTCTAAAGAGCAGCAGGCACAGAAACTCAACAGAAATCTTAGCATCTGAAAAAGCCCTGTCAGGCCAGGACTTCTGAGCAGGGAGAGACTTTGTGTCCTGAAACACTAAGGCCCCAGATGGCCGGCGGTTTCTTTCCCCGAGGTGAGAGATGAGCCCTGACTTTGGGTGCGGGCTTCTCTTACAGATGTTCCAGGAGATGAAAGCCTGAGGACCTGGGCTGCAGTGAGGAGCTGGGTCCTTCCCTCTCCTTCCCTTTCTTTCCTCTCAAGGAGGAATGTTACATTTTGGCCCCAAACCCATCTACCTCAGCGCTTTACAGATAAGGTCCCCAAACAGGCCAGACACAAACAGCTGGATCACGTGGTTCTCCCGTCCGTCCGTCCGTCTGTCCGCTGTGTGCCAGCCAGGCCTGGCAGGGGTGGAGCCATTTAGAATCCAAGAGACACAATGGAAGAGAAGGTCACACGTGGGATACCAGTGGCCCTGACAGCTTCCTGGTGAGTGACAGGAGTGGAATCATCTCCAGCTGTGCCTTCCCAACAGAAGCAGTGGGGGATAAACTGCTTTTTTTTTTTTTTTTTTTTTTAAAAGGAAAGATGTCCATCGGTGTCACATTTCTGTAAATCCCTTCCCTGACTGCTTTTCAATTTGTTTGCTTCAAAGTCATAAATACAATCCTGACAGGGTTCTAGCAAAGCCTCAGGGACCTTGTAGGGTGTGAACGATGGAGACAGAAGAGCTGAGGAGAGCCCACCAAAAGGCATGGGCTTGCCTCTCAAAAACCTCAGGCTCCTGGCAGCTTGGAGGCCCTGATGGCAAGCCTCCTCCCCCTCCTCCTCGCTGTGGTGCTGCGGGGCCCTTGTGTCCCCAGGAGCAATGGAGATTGCACATCTCAGCCATCAAATAGCCTAAATACAGGGAAGGATGGTGGCAGCCTCGGCAACACAGGCCCGGGGCCAGCAGGTTCCTGGCCCACCAGGTTCAGACACACACTCACCGTGGGGCTTGACAGAGCAGGAGGATGCCACAGAGCGCTCCGACCAGGCTCTTCTGGGGACAGTTGGGGCAGTGAAGCCCAGGGCCCAAGGTGCTATGATCCTCAAAGTTAATGGGAACAGCGCGCCGACAGCGTGTGTGCACGCGTCCCAGCAGCCTCGTGGGAACTGCGGGGAGGAGATTTGATGAGCCAACAGCAGAGGGACAAGGCTGGAGGACAGGAGGCTCATTTCGGGCTTGAGTGACACTTGGGGACGGTGGGAGAGCGGTGCTCAGCTCTTCTCTGTAAAGCAAGACAAATTGGGGGGGGCTTTCTCAGAAGTGGGGAGAGTAAGGAGGGCTTCACCTTCCTCCCCGATACTGTTCACAGGCCTGGGGAGGGACATCAGGTGTTCAGCAGAGGTAGCCACAGGCTAGACCGCCTCCTCAGGACAGGTGACGGCCAAGTCGCAGGCCCGTTTGCAGCCGCCCCCCAGCTGACTACTTCTCAACAAGAGAGGAAATTCACCTGGAGCACAAAGGTTGCATGGTTTGCAGGGGGCGTCTCACATCCGTCACTTCCCAGAGGCCCTCGCTCCTGGCAGAAAAGTGGTCTCAGCTCTAACACTGCATCCGGAATGAGTTCCCATGCTCCTTCCCCCTTCCCCTGCTTCTCTGACTTGTCCCACTTCCTGTCTTGATTTTAGTAAGTCCACTGTACCTTCTTCTGACATGCTCCTCAGAGAGTGTCTCACATTGAAGGAAGTGCTGAGTGTGGCAGAGATTTCCATAAAACCCCACCTCCCTTCCCCACAACCCTGATCCTCGTGGACCTCAGCCTTGGTGTCAACTGGAAAATGGGAAAAAGAAGCTTGTCATTGAGGGAAGGACTCGGGTCCGAAGGGGAAAGAGAGGCACAGGCTAGGCCGCTTCTCTCCTTCATCTGCACAGAAACCCCCAGAGGCCCCCATCACCACTCTGTTGTCAAAACTCAGGCTTAGGAGAAGTGGGCTACCTCTTGGACAGGCCAGCCCAGCTCACACTGGCAGGGGAGGGGCCGTGTTCCGAGGAAGAGCTGATGATGTCGGAGTGACTGAGGAAAGGAGGGAGGGAGGGAGGGAGGGAGGGAGGGGACCAGAGCGAGCAACTGAGCATTCAGGCAGTGGAGGGCGATGTGGAACAAGGAGTCATTCAGGAAAATATCATATTATAAACACATAAGAATATGTACACACTCATATACACCCCAAGAGAAGCTTCAGGGAGGGTCCCACTTCCTTCCTGCAGTGGCTCCTCTGTGATAAAAGCACTCCTATCGTGGGAATTAACTACACTGAAATAATTTACGAATCTCATTTATACTCTAGCTGTGTTCTCTATAGAAGTCTATGGTAAAGGCTACGTGGAGGCGAATGTGGACTGCAGGGTCGGGTGCTAATGCAGTCTTCAAAAATAGGCAATGACAGCTTGTTTTCTCTATTCACATTTAAAGTAACAACACAGTGACGGAGAGCAGGGTGAGAAACCAAACGCAGGGCTTGCGGCACTGAGCTCAGGGGTCTCAGACCTGTGGCTTTCGCACCTAGGACGTTTTTTTTGGATACCGGTCAGTTCTAGCTGTGTTGAGACTGGAGATCTCCACGAGACACTTACCCACATAGAAATGCTGTGCAAGGCTTTACTTCTGTTCCCATCTACTTAAATTTTTTTTTTTTTAAAGTGAAAGAAGAGGAAAAACTCTTACAAAATATAAAGTTCAGTATATGAGAGCAAGGAGCCTCTCCACAGGTACCGGGGTGGCTCTGCCCAGCGTCCTGTCTCCCAGTGTGCTGGCCTTCTCCCTGTCACACCGCCAGGAGGGCTCTCTGGCAAGGCTGCCCCCTCTTTTTTTAAACTAAATAGTGTCACGGTTTGGTGTTCTTCACCACTGTGCCGAAGGTGGTCCACGATGGCAAGTCAGTCATCCTGTTAGAAACAGACGGGGTGGACCGTACGGTCTACAGGCTCCCAGGAGCCGGATGCACCAGAGCGGTCAGCAGCCACTCACAGGGCGCTTTTATGCGGCTGGTGTTCCCCAAATCACCCCTTCCTGCCACAGCCCCTCACTTTTGCTTGGGAAGAGTGGCCTCGGCTCTACATCCTGCCTTTGGGATGAGGACTCACACGCTCCTTCCCCTCCCCCCTTCCCTTCCTGATTTTAATAAGCCAATTGTCCCCCCATCTCATTCTGATATGCACCTTTTAAAAAGCTGTTTATCACATTAACGGAAGTGTTTACTGCTGGGGGGCACTTCCCATGCACAATGATCTGTAACCCTCTGATCTCAACTAGTTGCACATTATTAGTTCCCATCCAGCTCAATTTATAAATTAACAGAGGTGCTATTTGTCTGCACAAAAATCAATGCATATTTATGAACTTCTTTTATTCAAATAGATTTTCACACATCTTCTCTACGACAGAAACGCGGGTAACTCAGACCTTGTGGATCGGGAGTGACTGAGGCCTGACGTAGCCAATGTGGTCAAAGGACAGAAAATCTCTCTTAGGGAAAAAAAAAATAGCATTTTCTATATTTACTTAGTTTTGGAGCATACTTGAGAAGCTATTTTCAGCTGGATTCATGATTTCTTTTTGAATTTCCAAGTTATTCTTATTTATTTTTTTCCATTTTGTTTTTGCACCAAGGAAGGAGATTGCAGTCAAATAATACCCGGCAACTGATTTCCTCTCTTTGGACTGAAAAATTAAACAGATACTAAATTATGACAGTGAATTTAGAAAGGAGGACTCCAAGGGCTGGAGAGACATGTCTGGGATAATATGATGCTTCTAAGCGCACTGCAATCACATCGTGGCAATCACCGGAGCGTGCCGTGTAACTACCTCCTCGGCTAATATGCCTTCTTCCCGGTGATGACTAATCACGTTCTATTAAACAGCGGTAATGCTGGAGGAACCCGACTGTACAAGTGTAATGAAGCCAGTATTCTCCCTGGACAGATTAGCTACAACTGATTTGACACCTACCATCATAGGGGCTTCAGACCTGACAAACTGTGCTTGTTTCTGATTTATGCCGTCAAGCTCCCCAGAGAAGACGTGAAAGCCAAGCCTCCTTTTGGTCGAGGTGAAATGTACGGATGTGCTTAACTGCCAGTTAGGGGAAGCTGCCCCTTCTCCTTGCCACCCCTCACCCTGCGCTCCAGGTCACTGGAACGGGGGTCCCCCGTCATGTGCTATCCTCAAAGCCGCGAGGTTGTGGTCCCTCCTGCGTTGCTTCCGGAGTGTGGGAAAAGAAAGGGTTCGGTTCTGTGGCCTCCAGCCTCCTCTTCTCCCCTTGAGGATGTCCAGGTTTGGAGACTTCAGGTGGGGTGTGTGAGTGGCAGGTGGGTGGACGTGACCACCAGGAGGAGGGAGGGAACTGAGGGACTCACGTGCTGTGCCCACCGTCGGTCCGGAGCGGGCGGGCGGGCGGGCGTGGGATCCCGGGGCGGTGTTGGCTGAGCTCAGATGATGCTGGGCGCCCTCCCACTACTGCTGTTCCTGCTGTTATTCTTCCTGGACAGGTTGGGGGTAGCCATGAGCACAAAGCGCTCATCGGGGCAGCCGTACTGGAGCAGCACATCGATGCACTCCTGGCTGGAGGCCTGCCGGGCATAGGCCAGTGCCGTGTTCCCGTGGGCATCGCGAGCCATGACGTCCACCCCGTACTGTAGAGGCAACAGAGAACAAGTCAGTGTCCCTGGGGCACTAGTGCCCCTGAGGGCAGGCGGGGGAGGTCACAGCCTCAACTGCCACATGTGGATTGAGCTGAAATGGAGACACTGGGCCGAGGACTGAAAAGGCAATGTTCAGATGTTGTTTAGAACAGGCTGGATTGATATCTGTTAGGGGAAGACCCCACACCCCCATTTACGTCACACAGACATGTCAAAGAGGACTTCAGGCTTGCTCTTTGTTTTACCTTTCCAATTGTATATCCATGGGGAAGGCAGGAGGATGGCTCAGAGGGCCAGGGCTCGTGTCAAGACTGAGATCTGAGTTTTATCCACAGAACTTACATTATGAGAGAGAGAATCAACTTCTGCAAGGTGCCCTTTGACCTCTGCGAGACTGCTGTGCCGCATGGGTTTACATGTGCATGCACACACACACACACACACAGAGTAAAGGCAAATATTTAAAAAACAGTAACATTTAAAACAATCTCAGAGGCAGCTCCGTTTCACTGCAGAAAGTACGTAAGAACACATGAGCACGAGAGGAAGAAGTTCCTGCCAATCGTTTGCTGTTTCTTTCTGTGTCCCCTTCTTTAGTACTGGAGATGAGGTTCCGGTCTTGGCACATGCCAAGGGAAGACCCACTACTAAGCTATGCCCCAGCCCTTTGTAAGGAGTTTGCTTTGACTCAAACAGACTGAACTGGACTTTGATCATCTTCTTACATTATCGACAATTACTCAAAAGCATGGTTCCGAATAGCCATGTAACATCAAAACACCTGAACCCAGTTCAGTTACTCCGTCCTTGGCTGTAGCACATTTTGTCCAAATGTTGTCACTGGCAGAGCTAGTGAGGAGAGGTTTATCTTCAGTGAGTCTTTCTCAGTAGCCCAGGGAAGGCCTGAATGATCCTGCTGAAGATTAGGCCAGGGCAGTAGTACACTTAGCCACGTAGCACACAAGCGGGGCTGGGGTTGGGGTTCAGTGCTGCCATCCTGACCTAGCACTCACAAATAAAACAACAGAGTCAAATAATGGGCTGGAGAGACGCACAGTGGCTAAGGGTCGCTGCTGCTCTAGAGCCCTGAGGTGAGTTCCTGGCGGCCACCCTGGGTGGCTCACAACTGTTTGTAACTTAAGCTCCAGGGGATCTGGTACCCATTTTTGGCCCCTATAGGTACCTGAACACACCTAAAAATAAAATAACTGCTGTTCCACAGGGTGTGAATTTGGATCCTAGCCCCCAGGCTGGATGGCTCACACCCATCTCTAACTGCAGCTCTAGGGTATCTGACCCCATTTCTGGCCCTCAGGGGCACTGGTAGATATCTACATACATACACATGAATAAAAAACGAAATAAATCTTTAAAAAGTTAAAGAGCAACAATCCATAAACACACACCACACACACACACTTTTAAGTTTCTTGCTCATGGTAAGTGTAGGTTCCCACATGCTTGTGTAACTCCATGTTTGGGCGGGGGGTGGGGTGGGGTGGGGTGGGGTAGGGTGGGATGGGGGTTCAGACACTCAAGTAACATGGAGCACTGCAGTTGAGAGCTTCTGGCCACTGTGAGAAGGAAATGTGTGCAGACGGGTTATGCTCCTCCAATTACTATGCTCAAGTCTTAAAAAGCCCCCCGCTTTAGACTGGGACTCTATCTGTCCAAGCTGAGAAGTCCAGTGTCCTGAAGGAACAAGACACCGGAGGCACACTCACAGAAGAGACCACACGGGGCCACAGTGAGGTCCTATCTGCTAGCTGAGGAGCAAAGCCTCGTGGGAAACAAAGCCTCGGGATGTTTTGATGTCTGTCTTTAGCTTCCAGAGCTATGAGGGCATAGTATCTGTGTTACTGCGGCCCAAGCCAGCCACACACACCTGTCATTTAGTGACACTGAGGGTGAGGATGAACACTGAATTAGCCTTAGTACCCGCATCTAACCAAACTCTCCCACTGTACTCCAGAAAGCGGATTAAAACCAGGAAGAAAATGGGGCGAGAGATCTCAGTCAGTAAAACGGCTCATCTCCCAATCTAGAGGACTCGAGTTTGAGCCCTAGAACTATATCGGAAAAAAACAAAAAAACAAAAACACCTGAGTGTGGTGGTGCAAGCTCGCACTCCCAGGTGCTGGGGAGGCGGAGGCAGGCGGCTCTCTGGGCTTGCTGGCCAGCCAGCCTAGTCTACTTGGCCAGCTCAGCAAATGAACAGCAGCAACAACCACCACCGTAACGTGTCTAACTCACAAAGAACAACACTTGAGGTAGTCTTCTGGCGCATGCGCACACACACACACACACACACACACACACACACACACACACACACACACGTAAACGTAGAAATGCCTCAGTCTTCAGCTGTGTTGTATCCCTGTCACCAGAGTGGAGGCAGAGGAGAGGCCCAGGGTATGTATGAGTGGCAGATGTCCCTGAGAGGTATTTAGGAAGTTGCCTGGGGACATGGCATTAAGCATCTCAGCTCAGCCCACAAAGGCAGGGCTTCTCTGTACAACCGTGTTACCCAATTTCAGTTTCTTAAAAAGTTCAAATTCAAACTTCCCATTTCAACAAATTAAAATTTTTTTTCAGAGTAGAAAGTCATTAACACAATGCAAGAGAGGCTTGGAGACAAACTCCCACCTCAGACCTCGGTGCCTAGGACCAATACTTTTGTGTTATGAGAATAAAAATTCAAAGGTTTGGCAAAAGGCCTCCTAGAAGCCATTCAAGTTATTCATGCCCCTGTCCTCACCCGCTAGAAGATGGCATTGAGAAACAAGTCCACGCCTCCCCACGGAAGGCTTGACCGGAGGGGCCATCAAAAATACACTTCAGAAAACTCTAGCAAAGTGTGTCTGTTTCACTTCTGCTCTGTACCCAGAATTCCCTGCTGTTCTATACCCTCCTGCAGGTAAGTCCAGGCGGAAAGCTCAAATCCCATTAGGGTCAACTCTTAGGCACAGTGGTCTTCTACCGGAAGGAGAAGCAGTATCAGAATGCATTCTGACCCCACAGGAGCTCCACCCTCCGTTGGGCATGTGGTGGGCACCCACGCCACCTACCCAGATTAGCAGCTGGGCCAGGACCACGCTGCCCTTGCGGCAGGCCAGGTGCAGTGCTGTGCGGCCATCTCCTTCCCCACAGGTCTCATTCACCTCATCCCGGGAGCCGTGTGCCAGGAGCAGGATGACAGTCCGCAGGTCTTCCTCGGCAGTGGCACGCAGCAGCTGCTGGCCCAGGGAGAACTCTGTACACGGCAGTGGGGCCAGGAAGAGTTTCTGTTCATACTTGGCCCGGATCCATCGTTCCTTTTCTTCCCTGAAAAAGTCACCAGACAGGCACACTCAGGACTTTGTGTTAGAACGAGTCTGGGACCTCTGCTCTGGCAGCCAAAGTGGTTAGGAGGCAAGGCAAGGGAAGGGAGCAGAGCGAGTCTCCTTTGGGGATAAAGTCCCCTTGGGGAATGCTCCACTCATGGCTTCAGAAGTGGTATCCTTGCTGTCTACAGCGTCCACTCCTGATTCCGTCTGGGGTGTATTTTCAAGTCATTGCTGGGCTCCTGTAACCTAGTGTTGGGAACGGTGGCACGCCTTTAATCCCCGGCATATGGGAGGCAGAAAAAGGTGGATCTGTGAGTTCAAGGCCAGCCTGGTCGACATAGTGAATTCCAGACCAGTCAGAGGTACATAGTGAAAGGCTCCTGGTGAGCTGCCTTTAGGCTCTGGAATAGTAAGGTTAGGCATGGGTGCTGGTTTCTCAAAAACAAAAACAAAACAAAACAAAACGGCAGACAGGAAGTGTGAGACACTGAACTCCACAGTCCTCCGGACTGGGCTCATTGTTAGGAAAAGAGGTGTGTGTGTGTGTGTGTGTGTGTGTGTGTGTGTGTGTGTGTGTGTGTGTTAAAGAGGATCTGCGATTTCACGAGTAGCCCTTAGAACTTTCCCAGCAGCCTGTGGTGTGTTCCTGAGGCCCGAGCATGGCTTTTTCATGAGGACGATGAAGAGAGCAAGCCCTCCCCCCGCCCCAGACTGTAATTATCTCAGATTCAGTAAGACACTGACTCACAATGATTTCTAAAACCCAGCGCCTCTCCCAGCAATAATCAGAGCACACAGCCACAGGGAAGAACCAAGCGCCCTCCCCAACCCTCCAGAAAGAAAACTCATTCCATTTCTGCTTCCAAGGCCCAGAAGAAAGGCCTCGTTTACACCCCTGCACCGTGTTTACATTGCGCCCGGTGACCCAGTGTCAGGCTAACCCTAATCTGTTTTTAAATACTTAGGCAAACAGATTCTTCCAGGAGTAAATCTGGATTAGTTTTGCTTCACTTCCTGGTACATGTGAGTGACCCCCAAGTGACCCCCGACTCTTCATTCAGAGATTTCCAGGACAAACACTTGGCTACAGCTGAGATGAACTGGCTCCCAGAACTGCAGCAAAGCCCTTACACATCCTTACTTAGGCAGAAAGGTGGGGGACAGCCAGGAAAGGCAAGACCCAAACCCCAGTGGTTCCGATTCTATTTTAGGAGCTTGTTTATAATATGTTACACGTTTGTTGATGGAGGTCATAAATCAGGAAGGAGAAAGAGCAAGGCGTGAATTAAATGAGAAGGGCTAATGGTGTAGGAGACGTCCAGACCTCCAATTTCCAATCTGCTAACTCTCATTTTTGGGTAGGCATTAAAATCAGACTGTCTTATTCTGCTCTGGTTGATTTTAAAAGTCATTGCCAGATCATCCAGGGGGAACGGGGGAACTTAACATCAGAACTCTGGTCTTAACTGCAATGATTAAAATTTCATTTTAATATTCCAATACCCAGCCAAAGACTGAGCACAGGTCCCTGCCTCCACCAAGGACAATCCCGAGACCCACTCGTGGTGCGGCTTTTAGCATCAGATGCAAAGGGCTCTTTACTGAATCTTCGTACACTTCTAGAACACAAAACCCTGCAATGCCAACTGCTGGGTCCTCTGGCCTTCGAGCTCACCAGAAATCTAAGTGAGGCTGCAGGCTTCGTGCCTGCATCAGATCTGACTCTTTCTTTCTTTCTTTCTTTCTTTCTTTCTTTCTTTCTTTCTTTCTTTCTTTCTTTTTCTTTCTTTTTTTTTAGCTGAAATTCATTTAGTACATAAACAGAGCCTGGCCCAGGGCAGTGGAGGTTTCTGGGTGTGAATTCAGTTGCTCTCACCAACTCCCAAATTCTCCCCGTTGTTCAGAATCTGTCTTCTGTGGCCACCGCCCATCCTAACAAGTGCACCCCATGGGCTTGGCGAGCTTTTTCCAACAGCTACAGGGAGGGAAAAGGAACCCCATGGGTGCTGGGCTGTGAGGCTTCATTCTCTCCTCTGAGGAGATCTCATGGTCTTAGCACTTGCTCTTCTTACTTCCCCCCAGCCCCAGACACTTGTTTTGCCATCCGTAAAATGGGTCTGGTGACACTTATTAAAGTCAGGGCTGTCCGGATACCCATGTGGTCAACGCACTGGCCACAGCAGCCCTTCTGTAGCAGCAAACTGGAGAAAACCTGTCTCTAACCACTCAGGGTCAGTTACGGTCAGGCACAGCACGCACCAGTGTGGTGTCATGTGATGGGCAAGCAAAGATGCCGTGCTGGGTTGTGGGTTTCTAATCTGTGGCTGCCTGTCACTGTAAGAGTCCCAGAATTCATCATGCTGAGCAGCTCTTGTCTAGGGGCTTTAGTGAGTCCCTGGAGGGTGTTGGAGGTCCCTGGGTGCTTGGGGCAAAGGGTCTTGGCTAATTCAAAGGGTCTCATGGCTGTCAGCGTGGCTGGGGCTGAGTTTGGGGTGTGTGCATGCACAGGCCTGAGAAGCCTAAGGCTCCTTGTCGTCATGAGCCAAACTGGTTGACTCCAAGTTCACATGTGGAAGCTGTAGCCAACAGTGTGGCCTTCATTTGGAGACAAGGTCCTTAGGGTAGATAAGGTTAATTGGGGCCCTTGAGGTGGTTCTCCAAACCACTATGGCTGGGGTCCATAAAAAACGAGTTACTAGCTACCCCTCTTCTCCCTCCACGCACAGCGGAAGGGCCATGCAGGCCAGGAAGGGAGGCCTCCCCAGACAACTAGCCCTACCCACCACGGACCTTGAACTTGACCATGCACTTCCAGTCACAGAAGCCTGCATATGATGCTTTGCTATGGTGGCTCAGCCACCCTTCTCCACAGCTGTCACCAGTCAGAGAGGACACTCTGATAATAGTTTCTGTTCCATTCTGTCAACACTGCCACCCCAGGAAACCACAGTGCCAAGGCACAGCGACTCCAATTGTTATTCTCAGGTCCCTTGGCCATGCGCTTCATTGTCCCCAAGGAAGGCCAGTTCAAGAGCAGCGGAGCTGGCAGTAGATCACCTCTCCTCATTCCAATGCCCTGGAGGACCACTGCTCACAGCCTCTGTTAGCTAATGAGCTAAAAAATGAATTATTGGCACGGCTGCCATCAGCAGGGAGGAGGGGCTGGCTCCTCATCAGGTCTTGGTGCTGACACACCTTTAAATAAATCAACTGCAGAGAGGGAGGGAGGGGGGAGTACTCCATCAGAAGACAGATACCAACCCCATCCCTAAAAACACAAAGAAGAGACGTTTTCAAGAGATGCCCTCTCTTCCCTAAACTGGAGCCCGTTGGGAGTGGCCTTCGGCCTCCCTCTGGATATGACCGTGAACTGCCTGGTGTTTAAACCACAGGCTAGCAGTGACCGAACATAAGACTTGGGTTTAGAGAATGGGGAGGACTGGGTGGCAGAGCTAGAAGCCCTGCAGGTGTCTCGGTGTCTACTGGGCTCGGCCAAGGATGCTTTGACACTATAGCTTGATGGATGGACACAGCTACTCCTGACCTTAAGGAGTGGTGACTTGGCCAAGTGCCCAGGTGCCACCACAGAAACAGCTGCCTAGTGTCCTGGCTAGTTTTATGACAACTTGACACAAGCTAGACATCAGAAGAACACGCCTCCATAAGATGGGCTGTAGTAGGTAAGCCTGTGGGTTATTTTCTTAACCAGTGATTGATACACAGGAGGAGGGATTCCGCACATTGTGGGTGGAGCTACCCCTGGGCTGGCGGTCCTGGGATCTATAAGAAAGTAGCTGAGCAAGCCATGCGAGCAAGCCAATGAGCAGCACCCCTCCATGCCCTCTGCATCAATGCCAGCCTCCAGGTTGCTGCCCTGTTTGAGTTCTCGCCATGGCTTCCTTCAGTGATGGACTATAACATGGAAGTGTAAGCCAAATAAGCCCTTTCCCCCTCAAGTTGCTCTGGCCATGGTGCTTTGTCATAGCAACAGGAATTCTTAACTAATATACCCAGGTCATGTCTCACTCGAGGTCCGTCAGAACTGACAGTTGGTAATATGGCCTGCCAAGGGATTCCTCAAACTGAGCAAGTGCTGCTGCTGGTGGGGATATGACTGACTTCATGGGCCACAGTCTCCTGTGAGTAGAAATCAGAGGTCCCACAGATGGAGGACCACTGACCCTGCGGCACCAGAACTGAGGCGAAATTCATCAGATCTCAGGATGGGGACTGAGACAGAATCACTGCCATGTGTGAGGGAAAATGTGAAGTTTGAGCATGTAGAAGACTTTACCACTTCTGTGGAGACCTGGGCCAGGAGCTCTTCACTGTGCAGCTGCACTGCGCTCCATGCTGGACCCTTGGGGTCAAGTCTTCACATGAGCCCCTACTGTGTGCAGGCTACACTGCGCTCCATGCTGGACTCTTGGGGTCAGGTCTTCACATGAGCTCCCTACTGTGTGCAGGCTACTCTGCGCTCCATGCTGGACTCTTGGGGTCAGGTCTTCACATGAGCTCCCTACTGTGTGCAGGCTAGACTGTGCTCCATGCTGGACTCTTGGGGTCAGGTCTTCACATGAGTCCTCTGTGCTTAGTGCTGGCAGACCCCAGCCGGAGCACTCACAGCAGGGACTGTCACCAAGGCAAAGGCAGCCCAGTGACAACACCATCAATGGCTAGGATGGTAATGACTGTGCCTTGTCTGTCCTCAGGTGACTGAAGGTGTGTCCTGAGATGCACATACTCCCCGAGCTTCCAGCTGCCCAACACTGGTGTCTAGGGTTTACTTCCTTCTCAGTGAGTGGAAACTTGGCAGGAGCTTCCTTATGAGTTCAGGAGGGCACTCCCTCAACAGCACTTGTGACTAGTATGCTCTGCAAGTACATGTCCCCACCCCTGGCTCGATTGCTGAAGTCCCAAGCCCGAAGGCAGAAGATTGGTGTCTTATCTAGGATGCCCCAAGGAGGTGGCTTGCTCCTTCCATGGTATGAGGACTCA